GCACTCTCAGCTGTGCACACAAGACTGAACAACTTTATGGAAGAAATTACAAGGGCAAGTCGCTGTTGAGCCATATTCATATAGTTGACCAAAGTAGCAAAGTAATATAAAAACAATATGTTTTGTTGAGCTGTTAGGAGAAATATACAAATCGGGACCACCAGTCTCTGACAGCAATGAATACATCAAGAATTTGTCACTGATTTTCAGCTAGCAATCAGTTATATCACTCAGGTTTATTCTCAAATTCAGAGATTCCTGGCACATGTTTTAGTTGTGTATGAAAAGTGTACTTTTAATAAAAACGTACAGATCATTAAAGTCATTTTACTCCATTTCACATTCGGTAAAATGCTTTCCCCTCCCTCCACTGAGTACTGTACTTGCAAAGTCGTTTTTTTCCCATAATGCAAAAAATGTCATTTTTCTCACTTTGGCCTGTCTGAATAAATGTGGACCTTCATTCAGCTCTGACTGCTACACGGCAATTTCCTGCTCAGCATTCAGTCTATGCTGTTATCTGACACCCCTCATAAAATCCGTGAAAAGGCAAATGACGAAAACATTTGCTACCACACGAAATGTTTTAAGTATTCTCCAGATTAACACTCTATCAAATTACCTGAGGTAAGCATGGGGCTCATTCTCAACTCAAGACTCATACAGTATACCCCATTCTGTATGGAGCTGCTTTGTTGTTACTGTACCTGAGAATATCTGGCACGAGGCAAATTGAGCCAGTTAAGGATAAAAAAGAAAACAGTTTTGAAAGTACAAAAGAGATATAAAGGTAATCATCTTTTTTGTGTGTGGTAGGTTAATATGCTGGATAATTTGTTTTAGTATTTTCAGAAGGCTACCAGCCTTTGGATTTTCAGCGTGGTGACAAAATAATCCCAAGACTTCCAATTTTACTCAGGTTTTGTGAAAGTGTCTGCCGGGAAGAGCGTTTTGTAATCACACTACAGACGTCACAGAAAGCCGATGCATTTCGTTGGCTTTTTATGTATTTGTTTCATTCTTTGAAGTTAAAAATGGCCATATACTGTAGAGATCAGTGCGGGTCTGGAAAAGTACCTGTTAAGTACAGATCCTGAGACACACCTTCCAGGCTTTAGGCCTGATACAGTATATGCTGGGACAAATAGATACTGCTGTGGCCAGTGCAATATCCACCTGCACCTTACTGATATTGCTATCTTACCCTGTGTGTGCTTTTCAGAATTCAGATACTGTAATTTTGTGTGCCTGCACACACACACACATGTTCAGGTTTTGCTGCACTCTCTTCAGAAGGAGAGGGTGGCCCCATCAAACAAGGACAGTAAATTAGTATGTCAAAGCCACATGAGTGTAGCTGACACTTTAATTTACTACCCTGGTTTAGTAATGGATGGTTCTTCCTTAGCCTTAAAAAATAAACTCAGGCAACCACTGCCCTATCCATGGGGAAATGTTGTGAGGTTATTGTCTCCACTGAATTCCAAGAGACCTCCCCAAATACAAATTGTTGCAAATCTACTCCGTTCCCTCTCACTTTAACACCTAAAGAGGACCTATTAAGAACATTTCTGAGTTAATAAGCGAGCTGTATCTTGCGGACTTTTTAATCTTTCTTTCTCATTTCCTATCACTGAAAAAACAGATTTGTTATGGCATTATAGCCACATACTGTATGATTACCAAGTATCATTAAGTATCATTAAGTACCGCGCACTTGGTGAAAAACTTACAGCACGAATGTCATTGCGAAACCGGTTTGATTCACCTGGGCTTT